AAGTGGTTGAAGAGAAGGAACAGGATAGGAGCCTGGTATAGAGGGTCCTCTTTAGAGGCTCTACCCAAAAGGGGATTGAAGTAGATGCTAAGAATCACAGCCAAACTTTGGGCAGAGTGCAGGGAGGCTTATGGAAGAAGGAGTGTGGGGGGAGACAGAAGGACCCAGAGAGGATAGGAGCCCCACAAGGAGACCAACAAAGCTAAAAAATCTGGGCCCAGGGGGTCCTGCAGAGACTGATGCACCAACCAAGAACCATGCATAGAGAGGACCTAGACCCTCCGCTCAGATGTAGCCAATAGGCAGCTCAGTCTCTATGTGGGCTTCTGAGTAAGGGGAGCAGGGGCTGCCTCAGCATGAACTTGGTTGCCTACTCTTTGATCACTTCCCCCTGGCAATGTGACCTTGCCAGGCCACAGAGGAAGAGGATCCAGGTAGTCCTGAGGAAAGATACACAACCCTTTAGTCGGGTCTTCCACTCACATGGAAACCAACCAAAAGAAACTGTCTAAAAATAATGCATTTTGATGTTCCCATGTCCCCCAAACTCCAACACACTTTGTATGTGAGCAGAGACCAAGGATTCTGAAGCGGAGCCCCAAGTTTGTTTAAATTTTCTCAACTGCTCTAATACCCTGGCCCCAGCTGGAAACTTTTTCCAGATGTGGGAAAAGCCCCAGAGGAAGGTATTGTTTCTGAGAATGGCTGAAGGACCAGGCTGGCAGAGTACCCAAAGAGCACAGACTGTCTTCTTGTCCTCTTGCCCTGTGACCTGGGGTCTCACATTTCATTTAGAATTATTAGTCCTTCCAAGGTCTCTGTAGTACGGAAGGTGCCATACATGACTGACCTGAGCAGGGTACATGGAGAATCTGGAGACCCCGGGCCGAGGACACAGCTAGGCTGATGGCCCTTTCCATGCTATATGGAAGTACACAGAGAAAGGAATGCAGTTCTGAGTCCCACACTAGGGCCTGAGTGTTGAGCCATGGTGCAGATGGAAGCCTGTATCTTGTCCGCAATTGTGGATCCAGAGAGCTGGAGTTTGTGAATGAGCCACTGGAGCTGATCAATTCATGGGCAGGGCGAACTAAGATGAAAAGCTTCCACTGAGGCTATTGGTGCTTCGTAGTGGAAGTTGTGGTGTCTTAAAAAACTCAATTATGTAAGCATGTTCTTTGTTCTAATCCCAGGTGTGGAATATGGGGCTAGCTCAGATGGTCCACAGCAGACCATTTGCCTCCTGCGGGCTCTGAGGGGAGTGTGATGGTTGCCAGCTGAAGATGGTTTAATTCTGGGGACTCTGAGAGGGTGTAAATGCCAGGGCCCTGAGAGGGGTTGGGGGCATGAAAGAAAAAGGCCTCTGCTGCTCCAGTTGCTGCTTTTTACGTTTGATGAGAAGAAGCTGGAGATCTCCTGAAACAAAGATTGGACTTGCCTCAAGGAACCCAAGGACCCTAACCAGCAGGAAGTAGCTAAAGGGAACTATACCCCCTTTCCCCACTAACCTTTCTCTCCTACCTGGTGTTGGGGTGCTGGAAGAGATAAGGAGTGGAGAAGGGAGTTAGAAGCATAAGAAATCTGATAAAATAGATAAAAAATGAACTCCAACAGTGCGGTGGTGGGAAGGCCCCATGGAATCCCTGAATTTGTAGAAGGCTGCTTTACCCTTCTCTCAGGCATGGGACACCTCTGGGCCAGTGTGAGGGCATCTGACATGACAGCAACAACCAATGGTCAATTCATGGGCACTAAAGCAGATCCAGAAATAGGCACAGCAAGGTACTCCCTCCATAGCTGACTCAACTTCCACAGGAGCTTCTGGGCCTGGCAGGGTCAGGTGTCTCTCGCAGAATCCCAAGCCAGTGAGCAGCAGAGCCCAGAGTCTTTCGAACCTCTCAAACCCTGGGCTCATGCTCAAATCTCCTGAGAGGTTAATTTACTAGAGTACAAAGTAGATGCTGGTGGCCACAGTTGGGGACATTTATCCATGGACTCAGTGGGTCACTGGAAAGGTGGCGGCAGTGGAGGAGGCAGATGCCATGGTCTAACTGCCCCATGAGCGTGGGGGAAGGAAAAACACACATCAGAAAAGCTCCAGCCCTCAATTCTGGCTGCCTGGGAGGCCACTGAACAGGGTCCTCTCGGAGAGAAAGGCGACTGTTTTTCTCACCCTGACTTTGGATGGCACACCCGGGTGGTTCCTGCTTCCTGAGCAAAGGTGCTGCAAGGGTTACCTGGGCACAGGAGCCTCAAGGAAGTCCCCAGACAAGAAATGCACGTCAGTGAACAAGGAGAGTAAGAAGGGTTTAACTCTGGGGACACGATGCAGAGCTGGGGTCAGCACACCTGCTCTCCCTGTAGCTCCTGAAAGAACGCTGTGAAACGTCCCTGACTGGATCTACTCCTAGCTGCCTCCTACCTAGGAAACTAATTAACAGAGGAAGAGGAGGGAAAGAATGGAGGCACCCTCTGAATCCTTTTTTAATTGTCTTGCTGTGATTGCTCTCCTGGCGGAAAGAGGCTTAAACATTTCAACCTCCTTACTGGGGTAGGGAGTGGGGACGGGGCAGGGAGGCTGAGAGAAAGGCAAGCAGAGAGCTGAGCAGGGTACAGGATTAGTGAGGCTGGGACTGGGTGTTGTGTGGGTGTTCCCAGGGCAGGCATCCCAGGGAGGGAAAGAGCTCAATTCTCTAAGAAAAGGCTCAGGGGAGAAGCCAGGGTCAGGTGGGGACTATGACCTGTGGAGACAGGGTCCTCTTATGTCCATCCTTCAGGAAGGGGACGTCCCTCACCTGAGCCAGGAGCAACAGTAGCCTCTCCTGGCACAGTTGTGGTGAGGAGCAACTGAGGTAACATCTGGGGAAAACTGTAACTCATCTTTATCAACTGATTTAAAAAAGCTGGAGCGAGAAGAACAGTGACTGTGAGCTGCTTGCAAGGCAGGGCCTGGGCTGTATGCACAGAGGGAGATGACTGTCTACCTGGAGGCCGCTGGCCTGTCACCAGCTGGAAACCGGCTTCCCCAAGCTGGGCTGAGGCTTCCATGACACGTTAACCCACCATTTAGAGGACAAGGACCTCAGGAAATGGGGGCTGCAGGCCAAGGCGCTCTGGGTGTTAGGGGAGGGGTTCCATCATTCAGCCATTGGAGATCCTGGGCAATGGAGCGCGGTTAGGAGCCAAACAGTAGAAGCATGACAGTGGACACCTGAGAAGGGTCCTAGGAAAGGCCTCCCAGGGCCAAGGGTCAAACATGGAAAGCGGAGTCTTGAGGTCTAGGAGAACGGTGGGTTCTGGGACACAGATCTGCACTCCTGACAGACTCTCCGACAGACTGCCTCCTTTAAAGCCAGGAGTCTGTGAGGGGTGGCACTGTAGAGCCAGGGCGCTGAATAACAGCTCTCACACACGGAAAGTCCCTAGCGTTGTGCCTTTTTGTAGGAAGCTACTAGTCCCCTTATAGAAGAAGTTGTCAGCAAGCGACAAGTATCTGGACAGACTGCCACCTACCTAGAAGGGGTGCTAGAAGGTGCACACAGATTCCAGTTTCTTACTTATGGTGCTGCTTGGGCTCCCCAACCCCTGGCTCCTATCTCTTGCTCCTGGGATTCACGCCTGACCTGGGTCCTCATGTTCCATGGTTCCACAGACACGCTCCTTCTCAGAACTCAGCATGTCCAGGCCCCAGCTCCAAGACGGAGCTTCCCGGGAGCCTTACACCAGATCTAAACCTCAGCTACCATCAGGGTGGGACAGAAGTCTATATCAGCCGGATGAAAAAAGTCATACGAACAGCTCTAACCCAAGGATGAAGGTCTTGGGTAAATGACAGCTCTATTGTATTTCAGAATGGAGGCAGCCCCCGTCACATCTCTGCTTCAGAGCAACCCTACAACGAGATCTCAGATCTGACCATCCTATTCCGACCTTCCTTTCTTCTCAGGAAGTACTGTCAGAGCAATACATAAAATATTTCACTGTTTCCTACTCTCTAAGCACCCTTATCACTTACAAGAGGCCAAATTCAAGCACTAGCTAATGCACAGCAGAAATGGCCACTGCGGACACGATAGAGAAAGGTCTACACAGATGCCCTCGTGAGGCTTTGTTAGGCAACTCCTGGTCACCTTCCAAAAGCCAGAGAGGCCCCATTGCTATCATAAAGACCTCACTCAATGGATTTAAATTCCAAGCAAAAGTAGAGAAAAAGAAACTGAAGACTACAAAAGGCTTCTGGGAAATCTTTTCATCCTATTAAACTGGAAAGACCAGGTAGAGAGATAGCATAGATGGTGTCAACCCCACCTTCATTCAGTCCTATGCTAGGTGTGCCGGCTGCCAGCCTGAAGTGGTGATAAGAGAACACCGGAATCTTCAGACTGGATGGAAGACAGAGATGATCCTTTAAAGACAGCACAGAGCCTGGCAGTCGGGAAGAACTGATAAAGGTCTGTTATGGCTGTGTTGTTATGTGAAGTCATCAATGCAATAACCATTAGCACTGAGAGAGAAGCCCCACACTGGTGGCCTCTGCCTGACAGGGCACTTTCTCCATGGTGCCCATCTTCAACGGCATGTGCTTCAAGCACTGAGGACACTTCTATGCTAGCGAGCAGAAACACTACGTCTGCGTGGCACGCCCTCCACAGCTGCCTCACGCCCTTGCTCGGGTAGACATTCAGGAGTAGAATGTCCAGGCTCACCGGACAGAGGCTCACAGACACTGCCTCTGAGGGCGGAGAAGTGACTATTTCATCTAGAAGCCACTTTCGGAGTCCCTGCAAGTCAGCTTCCCTGGGCTACGCTACCCCCCACGATCCACAACTGCAGTAGGCGAATAGCTGTGCAGCCAAGACAGCCTCTTCCTAACCTTTCTCTGTTTGAGATACTGCTGTGTCTACATGCTAACTCCACTTCTCTTTCCCTAAGAGGCCCTGGGGAATGCTAAGAAGCCGCTGGCCTCTCTTAAGCAGGTCAAAACTGGCACTGACACTTACTCCTCGAGAGCTGCTCTGCATGCCCATTTGAGGGCTCACCCTCCGGTCCTTCCAGGGCTGGACTCAACCGCCGCAGAGGAATCTCACCGGCCTCTATCTCTTCAGAGGGAGAGGCGATGCCTGTCTGCTGGGTAGGGGGCACCTCCCCTGCGGATCCTGCATTGGGCTCCAGTCTTCGGTTCACCCCTGCAGTGGCAGCATCCACAACTTCAGCCTTTGGGGTATCATTTTCCAAGGATGCATGGTCCCCAAAGGCCTGTTTCACATCCTTGGCATCGGCAACACTGTTGGCAACAGGCAGGAAACGGCTGCCGGTGGCCGAGTTCACAGAGGACTGGTACTGAGGTATCACACTAACGAACTTCAAGCCCCGACTCGCGGCCTCCTGCACCTGGGAGACAGAGGAAAGAAAGGACATCTTGTAAATGGGACACAGGCATGGCCAGGCACAGAGACCTCTGTGCATTCCTAGTGCAAACACAAGGACCACCTACCTGCAGAGGCCTGGGGGGAGAAGTCAGGCCTGGTGGGTCTCACGGTTGGAAAAAACTTAAGCATTTAGTTCTCTCTCTCTCTCTCTCTCTCTCTCTCATGTGTGTGTCTATGCCACGTTACACAGAGTTGTGAGCTGCCCGAACACCAACAAGTACTCTTATTGCTCTGACACCTCACCACCATCCATCCATCCATCCATCTATCTGTCTGTCTGTCTGTCTGTCTGTCTATCTATCTATTTATTTTTGAGTCAGGGTGTCACTATGTAGCCTCAGCTTGCCTTATACTAAAGATTCTCCTGAGCCTGCCTAGTGTTGGGATAACAGAAAGGAGCCACTCTGATTGGCTTTGCTGTTGCTGTTGTGTGCGTGTGCATGTGGGCGCGAACGTGTGTGTGATACATGCGCACATGGGTGTGGGCCAGGGGTCAGTGTCGTGGTCTTCCATGGACTGCTTTCCATCTTTACTTTTCAAACAGGATTTCTCAATGAAGCTCCTCTGTTTGTCTAGGCTGACTGACCAGTGACTTCTGGAGACCCACCCATGTCTCTCTGCCCAGCACCCAGCAGTACAATTATAGCATGTGCTGCCAATTTCCGTTTTTAACCTGGGCTCTGGGGTGCCACACTCAGGTCCTCACGCAATTGTAAAAGGCACTTCACCAGCTGCGCAGATCCCTGAACCTTTTATTTTCATTTTTTTTTTATGAATCTGGAAAAAAACGGTTCTGAAAGAATAAACACCGTCAAACAGAATCTGAAAGAGGAAGTTCACGTGGGTGACGTTTATTTTCTTCTCCATCACCCACTCCCAGCCTAGGAGGCTGCTGCACAAACTCTGCACAGCTCAGCTCCTCACTGCTGGGTGGCAGCACAGGATCCTAAGAGCCATCTTTTGCAGACAGTAGTTTAGGCAGAGGACCTAGGTGGGGAATCTGATGGCCATCCTTCCCATTGCTGACCTCAGGCCTGAAGGACGCCATGGAACCCTCAGAGCACCTCTGACTCACAGCTAAAACCAGGCCCTTGATCCCCGAGCCCTGATATACACACCATCTCATGCAAGGAGCCAGGAAGCTGTTCCCTCCCACTCCTTGAGCCCAAGGGAGGAACACATACATCTGTCTACAAAGTGTCTTATCGCACCTGAGCACTCCGTGGACCCAGCCCCCAGGCAGTTGGATTTAGTGATAACATAATGAAATCAAATAAATCAGCCAAAATGAGGAGGTGGTCTTCCAGAGATTTCCCTGGCAAGGATGCTCAAGACATGGGACCAATGAGCCAGGAAGAGGGCTTCAGAGCCATGGAAGTCCTAGGCTTTGCCTGCTGAGTGATCAAAGAGACTCTCGAGGCTTCTGCAATGGTCAGCTATAATCAGGGATCAACAACAAGTACCAGCATGGAGCTCCTGGAAAAGTGACCTCTGCAGCCCTCCTTACACCAACTATCCTAGGTTACCCACGGTGTCATCATGGGTCCACGCAGAAAATGCAAGAAACAAATTCTACAGCAGTTGCAGATGTACACTCCAGTCTTTTTATAGAAAGTCCAGCCTGTGCCAGAGAAAGCAGGAACAATATTAAAACTACTGTGCAGCGGCTATGTGCGGGGCACTGCTCTGACATTTACACTGTGTTTTGTTTAATCATTGTCTCCATTTTAGAGGAGGCCTAGGGGTGAAAGTTGTAAGTGCTCTGTGGGGAGCCAGAGTTCAAAGCCCAGCCTGGGGTGAAACAGTCGTGAGACCAAGTAACCCTTCAAATCCGTACATGTGTGCGCTCACTGTGTGGACTCAGCTTTACTTTATGTTACTATAAGCAAAAACTTGAGGAGAACAACTTCAGCAAGAAATTCACCTTGATCTTAGCTGTCAGGTATTGGGGTTTTAGTCCTTTGAGCAACCAGGAAGGGAGAAAGGAAGGAAGGAAGAAAGGAGGGAGGGAGGGAGGGAGGGAGGGAAGGGATGAAAGGAAAGATGGAGGGAAAAGAGAAGGGGAGGGGAGGGAGGAGAGAGAGCACACACCCACGCATACATGCACTCACTAGCTTTCTTCATCCCCGCTGGCTCAAATTACTCTTCAAAGGTATGCCATGAGGAAGCAGGAGAGGAAAATAAAATCCTCAAAGTCCCTCTTCTCAATGATTAATCTGTGAGATTAATCATTTTGAAATGACTTTAAAATTATTTTGGAGAGCTTCTGAAAGATGATGCAAAGTAAGTTTTAAAAGAAAAGAGTGAAGTACTAATTACAACAAAGACCCTTCTGCTAAGGAAGCTACTGCCCACAAAGCTTAGCTCTGAGCTTCCTGGCAGAACAGGCAAAAGGAGAAAGTCATTGAATTGGGCAGTCCTCACATGGACATGAGCAAGCAGCTTGTGGGCCTACTGCAGCTCCACAGAGCAAACGGCCTCTTCCTTAACTCAGTTCTGCAGTGGAGCCATAGCAACGGCAGGGCCAGAATGCTTGCAGGAAGACCGAGCTGGGGCCCAACCCTGTTGCTCTGTGGCGTGAGTGTGCAAACTTTCAGTGCCTCAGAACAAGAGAACCACCAGCAGACACAGACCAGGGCCTAGCGAAGGTACCAGTGTCCACTGTGACTGCTGCTCTCTTCTGCCAGCCTGGAGGTTTAGCAGCCATTCAAAGACTGCAGGGGCCATGAGGTAGAAAGGGAGAGGTTCTGCGCTCAGTCCAGGCTCACCCCAGACCCTTGTGTCCTCAACTACTCTGTACCGAATTTATTCTCTCAGCCAGTGTTCTCAGAGTGAGGTTTACTTGTGATCCCACCTCTCAAATACCTTAGATCTACAGCGGGAGCCATTCTGGGGTGAGAACCCGGTAGCCCATAATGCGGCTTAAGACGGTCTTGTGTCTGAGTGCTGTATGGCCTCTGCAGCAGGCCTGGGGCGTTCTGCACAGTTGTTTTCACAGTGACGGAGGGGTGGTCTGCTGGGAAGCCACACTCAGTGCACGCATGCAGGCGTGTGAACTGTAATGCCTGAGTGTGAGTGTTCCTTCCTGGAGTGGCCTCCCTGGGAGCGCAGTGGTGGTGCATTCAGCTTCCTGCTCTGGAATTCAACAACCATCTATTCATTCTCCACACCGGCCCAGATCAGCACATTGTGTCAGTGCTAGGGAGGCTGATGCAGGGGGATTGCAAATTTGAGGCCAACCTGGGTTACACAGAGTTTTCAAGGCTAGCCTGGGATACATAGTGAGCCACTGTCTCTAACACACACACACACACACACACACACACACACACACACACATACACACACACTCTATGTAGGAAAGATGTAGAAATGAGGGAGGAAGTAGGAAGAAAGGAGGGAGGGAAGGAGAGAGAGATTAGGACTGTAAGCATTACATAACGGAATAGAACTGAGGTACGAATTGGGGAAAAACTGAAGAACGCATTCATAAAAGCATTAAAACATGGTTTATATTTTACAGTATTATGCTTCACAAAACCTACTTGAGGATCAAATGCTGCCGGAGGCTTTGAAGAATGAATAGAATTTTACCACACGTCTGAAGGAAAGGGAGACGGAAAATCTACATTAAAGGTAAGAATAAAAATTATCTAAGTTTGAAGATGGATAACAGCTTGATTTGCTACAGAAACTTCTAGAAATTTTCTTCTGGACCATGACCTGAGAAGCCAGGAGCATCGAGAAAGAAGGCTGGCCAAAACCCTCACGGCTGGAAGCCCACACGCCTTTAGACACTAAGTCCACAGAGGCTCTAGCACCACACGCAGGCAGCACATCCCTGACATTCCCACCTTGGTAGCACTGGGAGCAAAGGGCAGAGTCTAGGGGGAAGATTACAAGATTTCTTCAAACTCATCTTGCAAGCACGGAACCCTCTAAAAAGCGGCTGACGTTAGATGCGCCCTGCATCCCAAGCATTCCAGGGACTCCACCTCCTGGGACTTCAGATGAAGCATCTTTGTGTGTATCTCTCTGCAGCTCACCGTTTGCCCTTCAGGTTGGCTCCTGCGGAATGAGGAGGTGGAGGGATACTGACTTCTCACGCACAAGCTGCCCAACTGTGCAGCAGGAAGAGTAACAAACCCTCTTTAGCCAGAGACCATCATTTGCGCGACAGAGAGAGGGCTCCGTAGTCAGGAGTGCATCCTGCTCTTGCAGAGGACCCAGGCTCAGGGTCCAGCGCCCATGTCTGATATTTTACAACAGTCTACAACTCTAGCTTCAGGGGATGTGATGTCCCCTTTCAGCCTCCACAGGTTCCCGCACTCACAAGCACATACCCCCACAGGGACATGAACGCGTAACTTAAAATAAAACAGTCTGCTTAAAAAAGATCAGTATTTGTCTAGAACTCAGGAGCCTTTATCTCCCGGTGTCTAACCTACCCTAGTGCAGACACTTTCATTTCTCTTTCTCAAAAAGTCATCTGACCAAAACTATGGCTAACCAGAGTCCTGTCTGTTTCTCCTTCATTTGGTTATTCATCAACTCTACGGAACAAGTCTCAAATGCATACAAATGGCAGGCACTGTTGGTGTCGATCAGGGTTCATCCAGGGCCACCGGCTTTTCTCAGCCTCACTCCCTCCTAGTCATGTAGTTTCAGCTCTGATCATGCTCGTTATTCCCACATTTGTGCCTGTAGTCCTGCCTGTACGTTCTGACCAATTCTGCCAATGGGCACAGCCACTGGGCCCCACCCACCTTCCCCCTAAATCTGGAGACATGGGTCTCTCTTTCCCCAGCTCCTCCCTTTCTTACCTACTCATACATTCAACCACATCCTGCCAGATTCATCCCTCCCAATGCTGCACACAGCTAAGGCCACCTTCTTCCAACCCTACAGCTGGACACCATGGCCTCACCACAGTCTCCAAGAGCCTGAGATCAAGTCAGTATG